ATCTCGGAAAATATGTTAAAATTTGCATGCAATTAACGCATAAAATTCAAATGAGAGTCGCGAAATTTTAAAGACATCAGTGGATAGACGCGTCCGTGTTTAACCAGCTCTTCGTCTCGAGAAATATCAAAAAGGAGTTAATTAGTAAATTGCTACTATGGGGAACAATAAGTGAAATCTTCACAGAATTTTCTACGCTCTAGTTATTTTTCACGCCGTGAAAAAATGCGTCAAGTATGTGGTTTAGTGAAAATTTCGGTAACTAAAAATGTGATGATCTGTGCTGTGATTTTACTTGGATATTTCGCACAAAATGCAGGTGGAGAGACTAATGAAATTAAAGGTAAATATTGCAAATTTACAGACAAAAAAATGTCCTATATGAACGTTCATGTGTCCAATAATCAATTAAATTACTAAGGGTACCAAGTTGCAAACTAAACAAAATTGTCCAGTTTTATTTATATTTTCCATTATATAAAAAATAATGCTGAGAAATTATTAAGTATAAACAAAAACCTGAATTCTTTGAATTTAAAGTTAATTTGCTCTAAACTGACAAATGTGAAACATTTTTAACAGCTTTAAAATGCCCAAAACAAACGTTTTATATGGCAGATAAGCATGTTGTGATAAGTATTGTTATTTAAAAAATATTTAAATAATTGAGCAATTAAAATTTTACGAAATCAGAGTCAGATTCGAATTTGTTATAACTTTAGTTTCTGTTGATGTCCACTTGATATACTATTATCATTATTTAAAACACATTCAGTGAACATATAGATACGCGAATAGTACAGATAATAGTAATCTGGCAATTGTGTGAATACGATTGTTTTAAATACGTATTCGGTGAAAATATTTACAATTTATAATATTTTTACAAACAAAATAGTAGAAAATCTAGCGGATAATTAAGAAGTATCACCCATTAATGTCACATTTCCCAAATGCGTATATGGACAACCGCAATAAGTCAAAAAAAAAATTAAGTAGATAGATCGAATGTCTTAAGGAAAAATCAAAAGTGTAATAAAGCAGTATATTCAAAGAGATACTTAAGAAATTTAGACGAAGTCCCCCAGAAACGAACTAAAAGTCGGAATACTCTATAAGAAATATGGTTTTTTGTTAATTTTAAATTAGTCAAATTGGGATATATTATCTATTCGCTTTGTATGCTTTATTTAAATCAATCTACCTAAGTATAAGTGCTTATTTAGAAGACAGTAAAAACGTAATTTCCTCATGTATATTGTTGAAATTGTATTTTTCTGACCGCGTAAGCAAAATATCGAAACAAAAGCTTAAGAAAAACTAGTATTAATGTCTTCTAAAAAACTAGTTGAACTTTGGGTACAAAAGCATTTTATAAAAATTGTCATATGCGAGACTTAGGTCTAGGAGATTAGGGCTTAATATCATTTATTACAAGTAATTGCGGAAGATTGAGAATAGTTTGGCAATGTACATGTGACATGTAACATTTGTTTGCGTATACAACGATATTATTTTATTGCGATACCTACTGAAAAATGGTTTAATAAGTGAAACCAAAACAATATGTATACAATTATTGGCTACAATTTTCAATAATGTGGAGTGATTGTTGCGCATAGACCTGCAATGTATTGTTAAAGTGTTAGGTTTCATAAAAATAAAAGTAAAAGCACCATGTTTGTGATATGGTCGTTGGACACAATGCGACAAATTTGCTACATCTTGCCGTCTTCTATGAGAATTCGCAACGATTTTCATAATTTTACTTTTATAATACGGGAAGCGCTTAGATGAACATTTGCTCATACCAGACCATTTTGCATTGTTTCGTTTTCGAGAACGTTCAACATTTATTTCCGTATTGTAGGTGAATTCTAAAAACTATGATTCGGTTCAATACACAGACGTGAAAAAATATGTATATTTTTAGATGTTTCCATACTTTTTCGTCTTACGTAGTTTCAACCCAACCTAAGACTAAATAACTGCTTTGTGAGAATAATACAATGAACAAATGTTAACTCAATTATAAGCGTTCTTGGAATACTGCAAAACAGGATGAAGATCACATTTTCACGCGCTATCAATTCATAATCAAAAAATTCACGCGCTATCAATTCATAAGAGACCCCTMGATCAAACTATTTTTTTCTGMACTCCTAAATTAATGAAAATTACAATCTCGTTTTCTTCCRGATTCTGTTAAAATATACACAAYTTTTAATGGTTGTTAATTTTTCTTTRYTAAAACACAGACCCTCMGCCCCTCTGAATGCAGATCACCACATTAACTTATTTCTGTTGCAAACAAAATAGTACCCAAGTTATCAGGATCCGAATCAAACGGYCAAACAGTAATTTAATTTCATTTGAACAACATTTATTGTAAGCTATATTTTTAGTTAGATTATGAAAARCTCTAAAACGGTCGACTGAAAAGCTAATAAAATCTCTCGGGAAATACTAAATCCCGCAGAAAAATATGTAAGAAAGGCTGACAACTTTGTATACACGTAATGGATTGGAAATTGAATTGCTATTTCAATGAATTAAGTGGCTCAAGGTAGAGTTTAGAAATATTTAAAAGCCCTTGTAGAAAGTGTGCACTAATTTACACAAATAAAAAAAGTAAATAAGACAAAATTGACTGTAACTGATTTTACTTTTCAGGAAATGACGAATCATCTAGCAAACGGAAACTATATTATGCACCTC